GTGCTTTGCTCCCGCTCAGACGCAGCTCTCCCCAGAGGCCCCAGCAGATGCCGGTTTTACCCGCATGGCTGAGCGATAGCAGCGCTCAGGTAGTGCACGTGCACGCTCGCACGTGCACGCTCACACGGGCGCACGTAAGCCCAGCACTAACATTAGTCCTCCTCCGTAAGCTACTCCGAAGAAGCCCAACCTGGAAAACTTCCCTCATGCCGAGCCTTTTACGGACCTCGTAAAAGGCAACAACTCTCCAAAATCCTTTTATATCATTTTTTAAGTCCAAGCCTTTTCAGAGGAATGTGTTTGGATATGTTTGTTAAGCCACCAAACACCATGAATCGTTAGAAATAAACATGCGAAAACCAGGCATAAAATGACCAAAATGAACCTAAAAGCAAAAACAAGATTTAAAATGAACGCAAAAAATACACAAAAAAATCACAAAAAAAACTTAAAATGACCAAATATTCACAAAAAAGCGAAAACGAGGCTTAAAATAACACAAAAAATACACAAAAAAAGGGAAAACATGACTTAAAATGACCAAATAATCACAAAAAAGCAAAAACAAGGCTTAAAATGACCAAATATTCACAAAAAAGCGAAAACAAGGCTTAAAATGACACAAAAAATACACAAAAAAAGAGAAAACATGGCTTAAAATGACCAAATATTCACCAAAAAGCAAAAAAAAGGCTTATAATGACCAAAAAAAGCAAAAATTAGAGCTAAAAAGGCCAAAACATGGAGGAGGAAAGAGCTCAGAGATGAAGAAGAGAGGAGTCACTTTAAGCTCCTAATGACCATGCAAATGCTTTTTTTATTTCATATATAAGTTTGACATTTCTTAGGATGTGTGCTTCATTAAGTTGAAGCCTTCCCCAGTAATGGACCTCTCTCCAGACTTTCAGCTTCCCGACTTTCTCTTATTTACTACAGGAGCCGAGCCAGACGAGATCAATTGAATTTAAAGCACTTTAAAACAGGAAAGTTTGGAGCTGCCTGGGTAACCTTGACCCATTTCGAAGCGGAATAAATCTGTGAAAACACACAGACTCTCGTTCGAATGCGCCCGGTTGTCTTATCCTCCTTCCTCCTTCACTCCCTTTCATTTTTCATCAAAGCCCCCTCACCCCCCCCCTCCCTCAGACTTGGTTCGGTCCATCCGTCTCAGGCCCGGTTCCTTTTTCCTTTTAACGAGGTCACCTACCTCTGCCAGAAACAAGCGCCGTGTCCCTGAACGCCTCACGCCTCGGCCGCCCTCCACAGTGGGATCCGGGGTTTGTAGTTTAAGTCCCAAAGTAGAACTCAAAGTGCTTTTTTTTAGGTCTTTAATGGCTCTGAAGGGGAGATCGGACCCATTTCTTTAGAGGCCACTTGGATCTTTAAAGTTTTTTACAGACTTTTAAACTGATTCTGTCATTTTCTCTGCAGTTAAACTACAGAAAAAGGCTAAAACTCTTTATTCTTATGGCCGATGGCTCAAAGCTAAGTGACATATAAGAACACAGATGCTTATAAAACCTCTCGAAATTAGTTGTGGAATTTAAAAACAGAATATGTTTTGGGTCTACTTGTTGTGGCAGGTTCATTTTTTATGTTGAGTGTTTTTTTTGTTATGTTTTTCCTGGATGACAACTTGCTTATTTCCAATGTTTTATCACAAATGTTTTAACAAAAGACAATTAGTCTGGCTTAAATCTAAATATCTAATTGTTTTTTAAGACATGATGGACCATAATGTTTTTTTTTTTTTTTTATTTTTTTTTTAAAAACCCTAATAAAGAATTCAAACAACAAAAAAAAAAGTAATTTTCTGTTTTTTTTTTCTTCTTGGATCAGGCTTTAAAGGGTTAAAGCTCACTTC